CAAGTTATGACTGCTACCTATGAAGTGATGTTCCCAAGATGCGTTAGAGCCTATCCCATGCTCTGCCATGCTGTTGCTCTTTACTGTATCTCTAAAAGCAAACCAATAGAAATAGAAAGAAAACCCAAGAAATTAAAACTTGTTGCTTTGTGAAAACAGGTTAATCTCAGATGCGTCTCCCAAAACGTTGCTCGAGCAGGAGCGCGCTGCCAGGGAACGGCCTTCCCGGGGCAGGAGCCATCCCCACATGCCGGGACGGGCCACGGGGGCACGGCCCCAAACTGCTGACCCAAATCAGCCCTGGCCACCCCCTATGGCAGAGCCCTGCCTCTGGCAATGGGTTCAAACCAGAAAAGGGCAAAAGCGAATGAACAACCAGCCAAGAGGCTTGCAGGGACTAATGACTCTCCGGTGCAAGGTGCAGCTTCCTACAGGACACATTCCCACACCACCTGCATCCTTTCCCATCCTTTCACTTTCGTACTTTAAAATTTTGACTCAATTTGGCTTATTGATTTAGCTGTGCTTCGCCTGACCTTACAGAGCAATCTGTGCTCTTTTCAAGTGCCACTTCGTATTGACTCTGCTGTGGAGCTATGACTCCTATAATTGGTTTAACAGCTCTTTGAGGCCACTTTGTTTCTGATAAGATACCCACGCATCTGCAGAGAATTTAAAATAGTTTTGTTGTCAAAAACAATTATACCAGGAACATGAGAGCAGCATTTCACCCCTACAGTCCCTCTGCAAATTTTTGGGTTCACAAGCTGAGCAACCCCAAGGCAGGAGCTGGGCAGTAGGCGGGGATGGGCACTGTCCCTGTCCTCAGCCCCCAAAACCCACTGACCCTTCGGCTGATGGTGGTTTTGATCATTAGGAGCTGCTCAGAGTTGAACAGTAAGTTCCACCCTCTTCTCTGTAGGGACTCCCCTCTGTATTTAGTGGCTTTCTACCAAATACACATGACAGGAAGGATCTTTCTTAGCAGAGACATGGCACGATTACAGCCCCCAGTGCCGTGCCCTGGTCCACAAGGGTTTCATCTGCACTTTAGCATATATACTAATAGTTATAGAAAAACACATAAAAAAATCGCACAAACATCCCCCACCCCAAAACACAACCCCCAAAACCCAGACAACCGCAGCAATTCCTATGTACGGCGCAACAGCTACGTGACCGCTGCATCCGAGCCAAAGAAACTCAAAGAATGGTGAAACATGGTAAGGACAACCGTATTCCACACCCATGAGGAATACCACTGCGCGCTGCATTACCAAGCTAAGTCTGTAAATTATAACTGGCCATGTGTTTTCTGAACTTTTAGATAGCAGACAAAGAAACTGGCTGAATAAGTGCAAGCTGTAAAAATGCCAGGAGCCTGCTTGTTCTGTCTGCCACCTCCCATACACCTGATGTTTTATCTCCATCCTGTAGCACAAACTCTGATATCTGGCCTTCCTCAAGCCATACCGTCTCGCTCCAGCCTGCTGCAAATGCTACTGCTTGGATTATTTGCTTTTTATGAATTACTTGCAGCATACTTCTAGTTCTTTTTGTTGTTGTTATTTTCTACACTAAACAAGGTAGGTATTTTCAATATGCTTTCTACCAAACAACATTATGCTTGTATTTATTGATAACATAAAATATATCCATACAATGAAAATCACAACATTGTATATAGCACCATTTCTCAGTTTAAAAGATTGCATTGCATGAGATTTTCAGCAGGTGCAATTTCCATTTCAGCAAAGACCTGTGTGGCTAAGCTTACGCACAATATTTTCCAGAGAAAATATCTGACAGGAAATCACTAGCAATCACCAAAAAGCACGATCCCCTCACCCCCACTCGAAAAAAAAAGAGAGACGGGAAAGAAAGCAAAGCAGCAGAGCTACCGCAGCTCCATCTCTGCGTGGAGCAAAAGGGGGAAAACCCTGCAGGAGCCAGGCCGGGGGTACGGCTCGGGTTCGGCACAGCGCACGGGCCCAAGGTGCCGCAGCCCGTGTCTGCCAGCGCCGCAGGCTGGGGAGCCACACAGACCATCTACAGGTGCCGTGCGTACACGCGCTCACGCACGTTGCATGCGTGCACAGGTGTGATGACACCGGGCGGGTGGCTGGATAAAACCTGGCAGCTCCCAGCCCGTGAACAGCAACAACTCTCCAAGTCCCGGCAGCAGGTGAGGAGCTTGGGCTGTGAGAGCAGGTCCTGACGGCCCTTGTCCCCAACGTCCCCCCGCACCACGGGGCCTTCCCCGGGGCTGGAGCTCAGCAAAGCCGTGGGCTGCCTCCTTTGCCCAGAACCCTCTTCTGTGCTCGGTGTGAAATCGAGCTAACCATCTTTTTGCTGGTCGACGTGAGCTTGTACAAGATTCTTACGCTTTCGCAGAAGTGCAGGGTAATTCAGCTCTATGCCTACATGGAAGCCTAAAGCTTTTGCTGCTAAATGATTCTGAATGCTCTCAGCAGCCTTTGAAATTCTTTGGGTCTTTCTATCATTGGTTAAATCTCTGCAGACAACAGTTTAAAGCACTTCATCCTGGTCACCTGCAGGCCTGAAGCGTTCCCAGGCAGCGAGCACAAAAGCTGCACTGCTCTCCCTCCATCACGCCAAATTTACCAACAGGCCCAGCTGTGTCTAAAGCCGCTTACGCTGTTTCTTATCTCTCCCTCGACACGGAGAGCAGAGGTTTTTGAAGCATTTGTAAGACTTGCAGACCTCCTTAATTCCCTTTAGGGATGCAATAACTGCCTGTAAAGCCCATTGCAGAGGTGAGATGATACGTGAAAACCTCTACAGCCTCTGCTTCCTCCTGCGCCATCCCCTCTTCCAGTGTGAAACTGAGGCCAAAGCAACAGCAAATCTCTGCACAGCCAGCCTCCTGAGTTGCAAAGAACAAAGCCCTGGTGCAGGCACCTTCCTATGGAGGAGACCTGTAGCCAAAGCATGAACCTGCCGAACGATACTGTCGGCTTCCTGCAATTTTTTACTTCAACAACCCGTAAGCTGAACAGCTGCAAATTTGGAAATTATATCCCTGGCACAGATTGAGATGCGTTAGCCGGGATCTGAAATTCGGTCACCCATTTAAAAGATGCGATAATTTTATCCACAGCAGTGAGCTTGCCCAAGTCTTGCGTTAAAGAAAAAGTGTTAAATGAAGTTACAGGTGGAAAAAATGGAGCAAGAAGCCAAAGCTCTTTCCTGCACAGGGAATCTTGGGTTCTGTTGGCGTGGATAACTGACAGTGCACTACTAAATCCGTGCGGTATCTGTGGGAGAGCATCCGAGGAGATGCCAGAGATGCCTGGATTCAGCCAGAGCACGCCGCAGGTAAGGAGACACGGCCGTGGCTTCCTCTGGGCTGGGGAGGTAGATGGGGTCAGGGCTAGGGAGGGTAAACCAGCCTGACAGCAGTTCAGGACAGCCCTATGTCTTCATTTCTCCCTCAAGACTCAGCTTGCGGGTATTTGCCAAAGCACTCTGACACTACAGCTGTCTCCAAACAAGATTCAGAGAGAAGTAAAACCAGATCTCTGTCACTGAGCATGAGCTGGAGCCACTTGGGCAGCAGCAGGAACGTGCAGAAGGGACTCGAGGAGGCCCAGGAGGGAGCTGGCCTTGCAGTGCTCGGTCACTCAGTTTGATTCTGCCCTACACATTGTAATAGTAGATTGATTTTTCACCTCTTGAATACTCTACTCAAAATACACATAAGGGTCTCCCTTTTAAAATACTTTAGATGCCAATTTGAAAAGGCTTTTTCTTGTCAACAGGCCTTCTGACAATGTTTTAGAAAATTAATTATATTGTCCTCTGGCTGTTTATTATAGCCTGCTTTCTCCAGTAAATCCCCACCAAAAATAAGAAGGGAGTGACTTTCTCCTTGTTCCTTTGTGTGAGACAAAGGAGAGGCCGTTAACTCTTGTACCTAAACCATCCCAGCATCAGCTGCAGCACGCTGGGTTGGGACCCCAGATAACTGCTGGTCCCAGCAGAGCTGATTCAATCTATTTACAAAGAGCACTTTAAACCTGATTTCTGTTGGCAGCAAAGCCCAAAGCTGACCAAGTTTTGCATCTCTTCACATGCACGTCTGCTCTGCTTCCCAGGGCCTATTTCCCCAAGCTGCCAGTGCGTGAGCATGGGATGGAAGTGACGTGCACTTGAGCCCTGGGACAGACACACCGCACACTCCTCTGCAGCATCTGAAGCCTCTCAGAGCCAACAGGAATCTTTTAATTGAGTCTGATGGCACTCTGCAATAATTCATTTTTGTAACAATCCAGTGAACGGATTAGATCCTAGTGTTTGGATGCCTTTTCTTAGGTCACATAAGTGTAATGTTTTGGACTAGATTTTGGTGAATGAACTCCATGGCCTCAAACGGACCTCACTTATGAAGAGAAGCAAGCTGGCATTCGCTCCAGCACTCTGGCAATACCCTTGCCATGAGCTGGAGGGTAAGTCTACCTGGACTAGTTTAAAAATAACCCACGCAGAATGCAGCGTCAGTCTAGTCTCAGCAGCTGGAGCTCAGGACAGACTATTTACCTTGCAGTGTAAATGTGCCCCGAGGCTGCTATTTGTGAAGCTGAGCACTCATCAGACTACGCATGAGTCTACTTGATTATTTTTTGACAGGTTTTTTTTGCTTACATCTCGTATTCAAAATGATTTAGTTAAGAGATGCCTCTTTCTGGACAATATGACAGCTAATTCCCACTTATCCCACTGAAAAGATACAATTGAAATGGATGCAACAATAAAACTAATGGCTAATATGATTGCTATTGATTATTTGCCAGTTTATCAAATGAATAGCCCACCAGCTAAATGGAGAAGGAAAATAGTGCTATATATCGCACATATCTCAGTAATGAGCTAACTGGATAGCTCATTTCAAAATCTATGTAAAGCTGATCACCAGCACGCAGTTTATAACAGCAATGATTCCTGATACATCAGATGCACGTTTGTTCATTTTCACCTACCTTTTCGGCTGACTGGGCAGTGCCAAAAAATATTGGAATGAAGGCAAGCCATACTATACAGGTAGTGTACATAGTGAATCCAATGGGTTTAGCTTCATTAAAATTCTCTGGGACACCCCGAGTCTTGATGGCATACACAGTACACGTAACCATTAGAAGAATGCTATAACCCAAGGAACAAATGATTTGTAGATCCGTAATGTCACATTTGAGAACTCCTCTGGCTTGATCAGGGTTCATAGTTTTCTGCTCATCATAATCTATGATGATGTTGGGTGGGTCAACTGCAAACCAAATAAAGACACCTAGAAGCTGAACGGATATCAAACTCGACGTGATCGCCAGCTGTGATGTGGGGCTTATAAGCCTGGGTGCAGTCACTGACTTTTTGCCCTGCTCAAATATGCGGTAGATGCGGTTTGTTTTAGTTAAGAGGGCTGCATAGCTGATGCACATCCCCAGGCCCAAGAAGATACGCCGGAAGGAGCACACGGCAACATCTGGTTTGGCGATCATCAGAAACGTGATTATGTAGCACAGAAATATCCCTGTTAACAGGACATAGCTGAGTTCCCTCCCGGAAGCCCGGACAATGGGAGTGTCGTTATATCTGATGAACGTTGCCATGACAAAAATGGTGGCAATAATTCCCAGCATAGCCAAGAAGACGGGTATCACAGCCCAGGGCGAGTGCCACTCCAGCTTGACGATGGGTATCGAACGGCACCCCGTTCGGTTCTCGTTGGGCCGCTCGTTGTACGAGCAGAGCAGACAAGTCACCTCGTCGGCCTGGTACTGGTAGCCGTCGCAGAGCTCGCAGTGCCAGCAGCACGGCATCCCCTTCACCATCTTCTTCCTCTCGCCCGGCTTGCAAGGCAGGCTGCAGACCGAGGACGGGACCTCCCGCACTCCTCTGCCCCACTGCATTTCATCGATCTGCAAGACATGTGAAATAGAAAGAGGCTGGTTATTTAGACGTGACTGCCAGATGACCGGGGTGGGAATGGAAACGGGGAGGACCAGGGGGGAACCTGCAACAGAGAAAAATGAGGTGGGTAAACTTTATCTGTGGTAGACTCCTGAAAAAGCACCAGGAACCACATACGCTAGTGTCTTCACATGGGACTCTAACGCATGACCGTATTTACTGCCTTCATTTTTCATTGCTATTAGTAGTTCATTCTGGTGGAGTGACACATGACATCCGATAAAACGGTAGACTGTAAACCTCTTGTTTCATGAAAATTAGTAAGAACGCTGCACTGGCTTGGGGGAAGGCAGGAGTTACATTCACAAAACTGCTCTCTGTGCATCTACAGCTTGGGGCTTCTTACCGAGACCAGAACAAGATATCTTCCTTCCTGGAACTACTACTGACCAGGTCAATATTTAAAATGAGGTGGAAATGGGTCTTACATAGGGCATGGAATCAGTGAGCACGTGGCAAGATCTGCAATGTGAGCCACGTAAGAAATATGAAGGACAAAGGAAACAGTCATCAATGAAAAATGCAATAACCAGATAGTATTTCATTTCAAAGTCACATTCCACTTTTGAAATACCATACATGCTTCTGGGAATGCAAATTATAAATGATTATATTAAATAAATGGAAAGCTTCACTTGTTCTGCAGTCTTAAGAAACCTAAACTCCAAAACATGTGCACAAAGGCTCCCAAGTACGGCAGAAAATTAGACTCACAAATAATTTCAAAATAGTCCAGACTAATGCCACTAACCAGTTTCCAATAACAAGGGAGGTTTAGTACTGGAGCCCCCCTGAAATAGTCCAGACTGGAACCACTGGGAAGGTCCTGACATTCCCAGCGCCAGCTCGTTGCACCAATTACCAGCTCAGCTGCCCAGCAAAATTTCAGTGGCTCCGATAGCTGCTCTGTGTGCGTGTCTGTATGCATGGCTTTTCCAGATATAAAACCTGATCTTCTGGAATAGATGTAAATAAGTGTTATTCAAATAAAAATTTTAGCTTTTTTTTTTTTTTTTTTGGTTTGTTTATTTAAATGCTTCCAATCTCCGCTATTTTCCCTACAAGTGAAAAACTCAAAGCCGAGTTTCTTGAATCAGCTGCTTTGACTATTAATGTATACAGGAAGACTGGGGTTTTCAAGTCTTAAATTGAAGGATTAAGCTGCACTTTACTAATTTAATTCAAAATAGATCCTGTATCATCCTCATTTCATATATTTGAAAGAAAACCCTGAAGTCACACACTGCTCAAATACTATACTACCAAGAGTCTCTGCTGTGAATATTATAAAAATCCCTCACTAATAGATATTCTAGAGGTCTGCCACTGTTTTAGAAACTTCATTAACATTCAATATTCACAGCTTATTCTGAAACAAACAAACAAACAAACAAACAAACAAACAAAAAAAACCCCAAACCGAACCAAACCAAACCAAACCAACCATGAACTCTTCTTTTGTACTGTGCTGGGATGAAGACATAAGTCAAAGAGTAGATGCTGGGCTGAAGGTATGCAGATGACAGAAGCCAAAGGAGTACTGATGATAAAAGACAATACAAAGATTTGTTTAATTACACTGGTAGATGGTAGTCTGGTCTTACTGGAAGCTCTTACAAGGAGCCGGGAAACCCATTTCTATGCCTGACTCCATCACTGCTCCAACTCGTAAGGACTAGCAAGCCCTTTACAAACCTGGAGTTGAATTCCGAGGTTGCGCGCACGCCTTGCGAGGGAGCCGGAGTAAGCTGGCACGTGTCCACGTAACTTACTTGTGGCAGAGGCACGACAAATGGTGTGAGCCGGGGGGAGAACCAAAGAGATGGTGAGTCAAGAGAACCAGGACCAAGGTTTCTGACCCTTAAAGCAGGTGCGAAAAATTTCATGACAATTCCTTAAGAAACCAGCTGATCTATAGCTTGCCTCTTGTTTTACTCTTTTGAACTGCTGATTTGTATCTTGCTCTTTTAAAAGGTAGACCAAGACAGGGTAACAACAACTTACCTGCGTCATACAGCTAGAAACTGAGACACATCGATCCAGTCTGGAGCCTCCATTTTCTCTCACAACTATTAAACACAGAAGGTACTTGATGCCCTTTTTACACCATGCGTCAATTTGAAATGGGAAAGGCATCCTAACTGCATAGATTTTGACCCAATCTGCAGCGCTGAAAGGGTTTTCACCAATTTTCTGCATGCTAGTAGCTCATAGAACCGCAGAATTATTAACACGTTATCGTATCCCCACCCTCCCCTTATGACTACAAAGGATGAATTTCTATATTCTCAAATGTATGCCATGGCATTGCTGGGCAGGTGGGACAGTCTAAAGGTATTTTGTTCTGGACAGATACTGTTTGTAAAGAGATAAATAGAAGATCAGGCAAAATTATGGAAAGTCCTTTTTCTGGTCTCCTGGGATGACACCATGATAACTCTGTATCACTGGCCTCAAAGATTCGCAGCGTTCTGCTGCTTCTGGCAAGAAAATTAATGGTGAAAACTGCCTGTCAGATAATGCACCTGGCACAGGAGCCTGGCGTTGGGAGATGAGAATCTGAGTCAAATGAGAAACACTTTCCCCACGCAGAAAATATTTCTGAAAACAATTTTGTCTTTAAAATAAATTGTTTCATAACTCTTTTCAGAAATGCAAACAAAAGCAATACAATGTTTGCCTGTGTATTTGGCTGTTTGAGGATCAAATAATTGTGCCTGATGTACTTTTTTTTCTGTCTCCCTTTTCTCCTCCCTCCTTCTTCCAGCTTTTACTAGAGTTTCCTTGAAATCATTCAGCTTTTGAAAACCCAAATCTAAGAAAGACTTCTATTGTGGCAAGTAATTGTTATATCCATCCATTTGTTGCATTTACTTAAAGCTAAACCTACTTCTATTCAATGACTTTGACTAGTATTTTTAGTCTCTATGAACTGGAAACCGCTTAATTAGATTTTGCTGAGTTCACAGTTTCAGGATCATGATCATAAAATCCTGATAAAACAGCAAGGGATAACTTTTATCCACAACTACTGTAAGAGGACCTTCAACAAAAGCAGAACAGCAGAGACAGTTGTTTCAACATGCAACCAACCTTACCTGTCAGGATTCAAAACTAAACCACATCTGATAAATCCACAGTTGATGAGATTAACTAGAGAAATGGCAGATCCAGGTTTCTGGTCTTTTGCTGACCCTGCCCCCAGGCCAGTTTGATCAATTTGGTCAAGGCACTTCATGTATTTTTGTCTTCCATTTCCCCATCTATAGGCTGGAGGTGCTGTCAGTTCTATATTTAACAAAGATCTATAAAAATCTCTGAGATCCATGGAGGAAAAATGCTATATACTTACAAATCCTATGTTTCTGTAAACAACTCTTATCCCATAATCAAAAAGCGATTATCTGAAAATGCTAATCATAATCTAGAAAGCAGTAAGTAAACAATTTCATAAATCATGAGAACGTATTCTTGCAATTAATATAAAAGTTGTGTTTTTATGTAGACCCTTCCATTTCACTCATATATAGAAACAGCACAGAGAGAACTAGAGAATTTATGTTTCCCAAACCAAAACCACTTACAGATGTAGCCAGATGTACTCCCATCTCTCCAACAATTTTGCCTCTTGAACATAGCACTTGACTAATTCAGCACGGAGGGGCACAATGAGCTTCTCCGCTATAATTCTGTCAGATTTGGGAAGGATACCAAACCTAGACTGCACTAAGTGATGTAGACACATGTGTCTCACGTCTTGAAAAATCACATGTCTACCCAACACCCATTTATTATGTTTATTGGCACATCTTCAACAGTATAATGTGCAGACTGGTGCTATTGTAGTTCGTCTACTGATAATTTGATCTGATAAATGCGATAAAACCCCCCACAACTGGTTCATTGTGGAACATTCAAAACAACTGATGAAAAAAGAACTTCAAATCTGGCCATGCTCTATGGTACTTGGATCCAGTGGAGCCGCTGCGTTACAGTGGGACACTCTGCTTTGCTCTACATAGAACAGAGGGAAAGAAACAAAACCCAAAAACAAACAAACAAACAAAAACCACAAAAAAAGAGATCCCCCTGTCAGATCCAGGGCAATGCAGTAGCCGTCTCGGTTAGGGGTTAACTCTAACTCTTTTTTCCTTGAGCTCTCCCAACTCCTACGTATCACCCCGTTCATAAATGGCTTGAGCTAGAGGGATGGGTTCCATTTCCAATATAAATTCTCATTATGTTCACTACAGAACAAACATTAACAAGAAATGCTTAGTCTGTCTCATAAGGCCTAACATAATTGTTCATTTTAATGAATAAAGTAACTCAATATATGTGTATAATTTAAACATCGCTGCTTTTTTTTCTCACCACCACAAACATTTCTGTAATAAGATAGTTGTTCTGAACTAAATTGTTTTATGCAATGTTTGATTAAAATAAAAATCAGTACAAAAATAATTACATTAGTGATAATTAACCTACTCTGGGAAAAAAATAGCCATGTTTCCCGATATGACTTTCATAACAACTGTGTCATTAATTTCACAGCCGCATTAGAAAACAATTGCGGAGGAATGTGCTCAGATTTATTGCCACCTTACAGATTGCTTTTAGACTCCAGCTACTAAGTCAGCAGTTCAACCAGTTTTTGTACATTCAACTTTACAGATAGCAATATTTGCATGACTTCGCTCTTCAGGCTTAGCTATTAATGTCTTGTAATTAGTTTCTAAATCCAGGGCTTTAACATGATAATGGTTTTAAGCTAAGAATATGTCAATAACACATAGTCAACAGAGCCTTCTGCAAAATATCAACTAAAATCCCTTCAATAGATAACAGGAACGATAAGCCAAACTACCAGAGAAGGATGCAAAGCTACTCCAATGACTTGACCAGACACTGCAAATAAGGTGTTTCACCTCATACTGTAATTTATTTT